CACAAGAATGGCATTATCAGGATGCACTAAAATTATTACATCCAACACTAAAAGATGAACAATTAGTAACATGTGCATATGGAACTCGGATTGATTATATATATCTACGTCCACGTCGAGATGATCAATGGAAACTAAGCAAATGTTCAATTATAAATACTCAACCTGCTACTGATCATAATGCTATTTTTGCAGAATTTGAAAACTATTAGGACGGGTGTGAGAAAGAGAATAAGAACGAATCGATTGACGTGTTCTTGCACCACAACATGTCATAATATGAAAGAAAGAAGGAAAGAAAAAACAATCAATCCACGAGGCGAAATATTTCTTTTTTTTTATTTTTCTGCTGTGCATAACGATGGAAGGTTTATTTTTGTCAACGAAAAATATTTATTCTCCATCTAAGCATTGCACGCAATAAAAAAATGGAACAATATTTTTCAGAACTAGTTTCGTTAATCAAATCTAGTGATACAATTTCTAGTATCGATCCTATTCTCTCCTCATTCGACGATCAAGAAGATGTCAATTTTTTTCTTTCACGAGAAAGACACTGCAATCCAAATTTTACTTCTGAACAACAATTAATTACCCGAATTCACCAGTATTTATCTGTTTTAACCAATACTATCGAATTTCAAACATGGAATGCTAATATTGACAAAATATTGAAAGAAACTATTCTAAAACAAATGTTGAATGACTTCACCGAGGTTCAACGAACTATTAAAGATAATCTTGGCAAGCCTAAACAATGGAGAGCAGCTCTTTGGCAAAAATTAACAAATGATAATCGATATAATCGATTGACAGTGTCACCAAGATTGCGATCTGTTGAACGGAAAGTGTCACCATCACATCTTCGTTTGTCACCCGAACCAAATCGCGCGGTAAGTGCTACTCGGGATCGAAACAGATTGGTTGCTTCAGAAAGTGAAATCCTCGCAATTCTAACGCGATCTTCCAAGAATGTCGGGACTTTGAAGAATATTTTACCTATCCTGGATCGGTTGATATTTGATATTAAACATAATTACAACATTCAAAGTATCATACAACAATTTAATACTAATTTTCAAAAGATTCGTACAGAATGGAAAGATCGATTGACGCCAGAATGGATCGTCACAGGCGATAGTACATCGAATTTAGAAAAATTTCTCTGGAACCCATTGACGTATCTGGCATCGATCGGTGCGTATCCCACTACAACGATGATGATACACGATAAGAAAACATTTACTGGCCAATGGGTGGCAGGTGCAGTTATGGCTCATATCGATATTCATCATATTCTACATGCTGAAAAACATTATCAATCTGGCAAGATGGATAGTTCTCTTTTCTTCGATTTTCATCTGGAAACATTTCGTCAATTGTATCACTTAATTGAACAATTATCGAATAACACAGAAACACACGTCAATAACAATTTAAAATTTATATTAAATATGTGTCTACGATTATTCACTACTCATTTGAGATATCTCTCATTATTAACTAGTGGTGATTGGATCGAATATCCAACCGAAGAAGAATGGCAAACTTGGTTCAATACATTACTTTCATTGACGACGAATGAATCCGAAAATACTATCTGTGCTCGACAAGCAGCGAAAGCAATGATTTGTATTCTTGAAAAACAAATCTTATCATTTTCAGACAGATTAATTTACATGTCTCAATATATTCTAGAAAATAGATATCCTATCTTAACCGAAGAATTTTCGATTACATTGACTCATAATACAAATATAATGGCTTGGATTGATTATTTATGTGATGAGCATGAAGAAAAGAATCAGATTTGGGCGATTCTGATCTCATTGATCAATCTGTATGATCATTCATCAAGATCGATGCAACAAATTCTAGAACGATTCCAACAGTTACTCTTTGTTCGACTGATCAACGGTGATACGTCTATCATTTCTGTGTTCATTCAATATCTCTCATTATTTTTCAATCAATGTATGATCGACAATAATTTATTGGCATCCTTTCTGGTCGGTTTAAGTGTTCTGAATGTAATTGAAGATCCAATGCGTTTTACTACAATTTACACGACTATATTACCTATATTATCTGATTTCATCTTGAAACATATCGCTCAATCAGAAATAAACGACAAACCTCAATTTCGATTTACTGCTTGGTTGTTAGGAAAAATCAGTCATTTACTGATCACAGGTCCACCTAAACATTTACTAGAAATAAAATATGCTGAGATATTAAAATCACCGTTATTCTCTTGTGGATGTGAAACAAATACGATGAATGAAGCATTATTTCAATCTAGCATGGCTTCATATAGTCAATTAACATTAACAGATCATATCGTAGAAACAACGTCCGATGATCAAGAATTTCTGATGTCAGTGTACAACAATACTGATTCAGGTGCGCAGCTACTATCGAAAATGCGAACTTTTAGTAAAGATAAACATCGTTCTCTACAAAAATCTATTGAACAACAAGCCAATAATGCATGTGCTCATCTCTTTGCAGTCTATCTCAAACACTATCGTCAAGTTAATTTAGCGATAGAAGAACTATCTCGTATTAATACGACCAAACCGCATCAAAAATTGTTGTCTCTATATGAATATGCTAATCGTGTCCAAATGACTTTTGCCACAACGCGAGGACAAGGTGGTAATTGTGAAGAACTCTACGAACAGATTCGAATGCGAACTCTCTTTTTACTTTCTTCCATCAAAGAAAGTCAATGGATTCCCATTATCGAAAGTTCTCAACAACGATCAAAGAACAAATCTTCTCGACTACTACAACAAACATTTAATGTTTGTCTACGATTTAAAAAACTGATGACAGCCAATAAAAAACACAACGATCAAAAAGCAAATCGTGAAGAAGTAATGCATCGCACCATTGTTAGCTATGTTTATGGAGATCAAAGTCGATGGGAATTGGATGAACTTCTTCAATGTATGTCTTATCAACATGAACGAGCCATGCTTCGATGGGTTACATATCGATTTATTTATACATTTCTTCAAAAATGTATTCAAATTGAAGAAAATCATCAAATGATGAATTTTTTAACTATCTTTTTACTGAATATAAGAGGTACTGATATTGAATGGTCTTACTTAGACAATATTCCAGCAGTCAATAGTCGTTGGAAAGAAGAGATTGGTAAAGTCTATTATTCGATGGTAAATTTTCTTCTCTTGACTTTATCACAAAACAATACAAAACCAGTGAGTCTTGTATTTCATGTCTTGAATTTAACGTATACTAGTAACGATATTCAATATTTACATGATTATGAATTTCCTCAAAGATTATTTACACTCTTTGTTACTTCCTGCAATCAATCCGTTTCATTCGAATCTAAATTCATTGCATATCAATGGTTTCGTTTGTATGTTTTACAATTATGGGAACAGACGACCAATGAGGAAACCATCAAAACATTATCTGAAGAAAAATGGATTTTTAATGAATTGAAATATTTATTCTCTGTAGAACAAAATCAAGTATCAAAAATTTCTTTTCAACATGTAGCTCTTGGATCAGAAAAACATGAAATTAATCAATACTTAATACTACTACTTCGATGTATCACAGTCTATGAACATATCCGAAATCGATGTGCTACTTTAGAATATTTCAATCAATTATGGCAAATGTATCGATGCAGTACAAATCTGATCACTACTCTACTAGTACTGAAAATATTACGACAAATTCTTTTGTTTCTACCGAAAGAGCAAGTCACCATTTTGATGAAGAATTTTTTAGCAGAGATTCTATCGACGATTAGCAATAGTATTCGATCGAAAGAAAAATCTTCGGAAATCATTACTGAATTAATTTATATCTATCGATCGATCATTTCTACTGCATCACCATGGCAGCAAATCGCAACTGAACATATCTTTAATATTATCATTTCGAATTTCAATTCATTTACACCCAATAATACAGATCAAATGAATCATTTACTGGCTTGTTTGAGTATTTTGGGCGGATACATTCATCCATTTGGTATCGGCTCCATCGTTCAGATCTATGTTGAAGATCAATTCGATCAAGAAACTCAATTAGGAGTAATCATAGAGATTGATATGAATAGTGTCTTTCCTTATTTAGTTCAATACTGTCGAACTAATCAAACTAGATGGGTTACAGTCGATCAATTGCGTATTGAACTCGATGTATTACCACCTAATCTACTCGATCTACCCATTGATCATACAACCATTGGTAAGATGTTTGATGCTTTGATCGATTTTGTCGAACTTGACGATTCACTCTTCGATTCCCTTCTGATTCTATCATTGAAACGTCGTTCAATTGGTGTTTTGTATCGTTTAATGACCAGTAAAAAACTGTTAGAAATTTTCATGGAAAAACCATATGTATTAATTATTGCAAAACTTTCAACGACGGCTCTATCCACTATTCATTGTCTACAACCGACTGATTTACATTTATTGAATAAACGACATTTGGAACAATACTCCCTTAGTTTGGATCGATGTGAACATCCGAAACAAATTAACGATGAATTACAATTTCATGTTTGGCATAATTCACCTTTCAAAGAAGAAGCGCTAATGATGAATATTGATTACACGAATCTAGACAATAGCCAATGGAAACCTGTGGGATCGAAGCAGTTTGTAGAGGATTTTAAACGAGGCCGTGTTGGTAACGAAGATATTCGTATCGCACCGATGATGCCTGAAATTACCACTCAATGGATGTTAGAAGAATGTGGAACCCATCATCGATTTCCTGGTCGAATGTATTTAATGAATGAAACTGGTGGTACTTCGTCGATTACGTTCACTGTGGGTGATTTACGTCTGACTTACGGTAAATGGTATTTCTGTATTCGTCTGGTGGAAAGTCAATTCTTACAGATTGGGTGGGCAACAAATGGTTTCAATCCTGGTACTACTGCTGAAGTCAGTCAGGATCAATATTCATGGTTTTATGATGGATCTCCTTTTGGCACAGATGATATACGTTGGAAGAGTAATGATGTTTGTGGATGTGGAATTGAAATTGATGGAAATAATACTCGAATTAATTATTGGTTAAATGGACATTTTTTAGGTACGACTTTTGCTCACGATTTTCCCGTTGGTTCGACTGAAACGATATGTAATATGCGACCTAATGGATCTGAAACTACTTATTATCCATGTGTAACTTTACGAGTGAATGATACATCACTTTTCAGCACTTGTGAATGGATTTTCGATCCTGAAGATATGAGCGAATGTCCATTACCGATTGGTTACAAACCTTTACTATTACCAACCATACTCACCGTAGTAAGATATCCATTTAGTGCCTATATGTTAAGTACCGATGATCGAGACAATCTTTATCGATCACGTTCTGCATCTTCAAAAATGTTCTTACGTGATTTTGTCAATCAACATCATTTAGAAACCGAATTTCTTGTTGATGCTAATCGATTGATATTGACAGAAGAAAGTCATGGATTTCCATTCATGATCGATCATCTTGGTTCATGGACAATCAGCTTCGACTTTGAAGTTTTATTCAATCATTCACAAAAGGATATTTGCCTTTTGACACTAGGAACAACATCGTCCATACGAATACCATTCGAAAAAGTAACCAATAACACTCGTATAGCTATTGTATTCTGTGTCAAAAATCAACAAATAAAAACGTATATTAATCATGAATACAATATATCGAAAGTCTCCGTCATTATTCCACTTACACTTCATCTTTTGCCTATGATTGCTGTTAAAATGCGAAATCTCGGTTTTTGGAAAGATGCTCTACCAGAAGAACAAATTCGTTATCTGCTCAATTCGGGATTATCTCATATTAATTCCGATTATCATCGATTAACCACATATCGAAAATTAGCAAATACATGGACATTCAAAGCTAAACAACAAGATTTTCTAGATGAATCTCTTGTACTTATGAATCAAGTCAGATGCGAAACAGCAAAAGATGAAACTGAACAATCTGCTATAGAACTATATGGAAATACAACTTATCTTGTTTTAAATAAGTCAACTCGTCCATGGTCAGAATATACACTGATTCTTGATATTCAAATTGATCATTTACCAGCACAGAACGAGCAATTGACATTAATTACTTTAAATTCAAATGTCAGCATTTATCTGACACACGAAGGACACTTATGTGTAACAGTACATCAAACGAAAAGTCATTCAACATTGAAATTAAATCAATATGTACGTCTAGTAATCACTGTTGGAGGTTCGTCATTGAAATTGTATGTCGATGGTGTATTGTATCTTGATGTCAACATCAATGAACATCAACTACTGATCAACGATGATCATATTGATTTGTTTCGTGAACATAATATAACCAAGAATGATATACTTCGCATCAAATGTAAATCGATTACTTTCATGACAAACTGTATCACCGATATCAACGATGATCTCGAATCTTCCAATCATTCATTAGACCATTTAGTTGCACCGCCTTATTCTATCCTTGCTCCGAATTTAATTCTCAGTGGACATGATCAATCATTGATCAAATCAGTATTAAAACAACATCCAACAAGCAATATTTATTTGATCGATCAAATTCTTCGTGAACAACATGAAACAACGATAAAAGCTATGCAAGACAACAAGCCACTACGTCAAAACAATCTTCTTACGAAAATGAATCCATCCATTGATAAATACAAACTAAAGAATCTTCTTCAATTTTCAAATTTTGATACTGATGAAAAGATTATTACACTTGGTACAGTTCTCTTTGAGCATTGGACTACACTGCAAGTATCAAATCCATCACTATCTTCTGACAAAAACTGGTTCGATCAAGCTGTACATCATCTAGATATTAACAAGCAGTTCAATGAATGGATTAACGATTCATCTCTGGCTACTATTCAAGGAAGTGATTTAACGTATCAATTACTTGATTTAAATCGACCTTCATCAGAACAAATACAGACTATTGATCATCATTGGAAAAAGACTCAATATTCTCATCATAATATTCCTCGTGATCAATTTATTACTTTACGAACTGCCTGTGAACATGGATTAATCTCGATTTATGCTCATTATACTATCTTAACGATGTTACAAGTTTGGTCTTCAGATGGATCAACTTTATTTCCATTAGAAAAATTCGGAGATTATACATTTCTATTAACATTATTTCGATTGTTAGATTATCATTATAATAATACTCGATTGCATACCGATGAGAGTATCGATCGAATGAGTTTATTAATTAAAACAATTCTCAATGTAGAAATCAATCAATTACTTAAACATCAGCCAGTTACAGATGATTCATTGTCGAACTTAGCTCCACTTCTCTATCAACTACAAAAGAATCTCAGTATACAAATGATTCAACTGGTTGCCAATCCATCCTTGTTAGTCGATGATGATGACAAGCATCAATCGACAAAAATGATTCAAAAACCAAATTTGAAATTCATTCTTAAAATATTGAATCTCTTTCTTTTATTACTAACTGAATCATTTGCAAGAAAACAAATTGATATTGATTTCTTAGTTCCTATCGTTTTTCCAACAATTTTAATCGAATATTTGTTCGATTTATTTCTTCTATGTCCAATGCATCAAACAAAAATAATAATACTTCGTCTTTTCATTGCGTAAGTCAACTTAGTATACTAATCAATAGCAATTTTATTCTTGATGAATTTTATAGATTGATTCAAACAAGTCAACAACTTCAGTTGAGTAAATCTGTTCGAAATTTCTTCTTTCATTTGTTTACTCAGTTACCATCTGATTCTACGTCGATATCAAATCCTACACTGAAAACATTTCAAATAACAATTTTAGATTTAGTTTATCTATTATCCGAACGATATAAAAATGATTTGATAGATTATAATTTTTCTCAATCATTTCATAATTTATTAAATTTTCTTGATACTGTAAATGCGCTAAATAATCGAACAAAACGTACTACATTTCCAGAATTGTTCATCTTTAACGGCGACTTTCAATTCACTCGAGATGAACTTGAACAATCACAACATTATTTTGATATGACTGCTGATTTTCAATTGATTGATTATATTAATCAACATCTGCTGACAAATCAATCATTTACGACATTGATTACTAGTCTACCAACTGATACTACACTTAATTCAACTCATTACAAAAATTATCCATCTTTGTGGCATATTCGAGCGCGTTGTATCCAGACACGTGTGAAATTCTTCTTTTTATTCAGTGTATCCGCTGAAAAACTCGTTTCGATTGTCGATCTTAGTCTTCCGATTGGACAAAGTTTTCTTACTGATAAATTTCGATCGGCTCGTTCGTATGTTTTGCGTACTACTAAATTTCAATTATTGAATTCAACTTTGATCGTCACGGAATTACCCTCAGAAGACAACATTCCATCGATCAATTTTGATACTATTCAAGCAAGTACTACAAACACCAAAACGATGTTCTATCAAGCATACGTACAACTACATCCGAATGCTCATATTCTTTTTCGACGACAGGATGAACGTCTCTGGCGAGCACAATATCTTGCCATGCATAGTACGGATGCAGGTGGACCTTATCGAGATTCTATCACGTGTCTTTGCGCGGATATTTGTAGTGAACGTCTGCCATTATTTATTCTTTGCCCTAATGGACGAATGAACGATGGTTTAAATCGTGATCGTTGGATTCCAAATGTTTTTCCGCCGAATAATTCGATTCCTAATGATATCAAAAAACAGTATCGATTTGTTGGTCAATTATTAGGCATGGCGATACGAAAAAAATTCTATTTGGATTTAAAATTTCCCACTTTTCTATGGAAACAACTAGTGAAAGATGAGGTAACTATGGAAGATATCTTCGCGATTGATATACAAAGTTTTACTTTGATTAATGAAATGGAAAAGACTTTTCATTCTGCAGATCCAGAGAACGATGCATTGACTGATATTCTTGAAGAATTACGCTTTGAAGCAGTTAGTGCTAGTGGGCAAACGTTTGAATTGATACCTGGTGGACGTAATATTCCAATTACCTTGCAGAATCTAAAAGAATATTGTTCGAGTTATCGTCAATATCGTCTACAAGAATTTTCTCGACAAATTGAATACATTCGTCAAGGATTGCATAGTGTAATTCCTGGATTTTTCGTAAGTTTATTTACTGCTCGTGAATTGGAAGAAGCTGTGTGTGGTAAAGGTACAACTAATATCGAACTATTAAAATGCAACACTACCTATGGTGGTAGTTTTCATTCAACTTCAAGATGTATTCAACACTTTTGGACAGTACTCAGTACGAAATTTACTGAAGAACAAAAAAAGTTATTTCTCAAATTTGTTTGGGGTCGATCAACATTACCCAATCGACATGAAGATTTTACATCAAAATTTATCATCAGTCCATTTACAGTTAGTAATGGTCATATTGATGGAGCACTTCCACGTAAGACAAAACTTTCAGAATATAAACTCAGTTGTCAATACTACTTTTTTTTGTATTTTAGGAGCACATACATGCAGTTTTACTTTGGATTTACCTGACTATTCATCGGTAGATATAATGTATGATCGTTTAAATTATGCGATTACAAATTGTTCCAGTATCGATGGAGACGGAAACATGAATGGCATGCCTGTAATCTTAGATTCTGACTAAATTTATTTATATTATTATTGCTGCTAACACTTTTCGTCGTCGTCGTCGACGACGTTTAATTATTTTTATAACAGCTATTTTAAGTGAGTCATTAAATTGAAATAAAGCAATAAAAATAAATACTAATGATACATCCAGAAATATAAGAGCAATTCGAAAATGATATTTTTCAGGAGTTGTAAAAAATGAAATGATAATGAAAACTGTATATGGAAAACCAAGTGCAATTAAAATGATTACTAATATGAGTATACGTCGAACCATTTTTAATTCTCTTTGTGCTCGAACTAAAGTATTTGCTAATGTTACACGTTTACTCATTTTTTTCACGTATAGAACTAATTTAAAATAAATTAATATAACCAATAGAACAGGAATGATATAAATACAAAGTACCATATAGATCAATGAGAAAGACAGTCCAAGAGGTAGTTGACATATTTGATTGTTAATATTATAGAGAATTTCATTACGAAGCATAAATTCAAGTGGATATGCTAGACCAATAATCCATGTTATGAAAATAAGTATAATTTGACATGTAGCTGCTTGATAAAATAACCATTGTGGATAAACTACAGTAACATATCTATAGAGTGCTTGTAATAAGAATGAATAATTCAATGTGGCACATATACCATCGGCAATATAAGCTCGAAATACACATAATGAATCTTCATAAATAATTTGTTTCATATCATTTTGTAATACAAATACGACTGCACCATTTCTAATACTTGCAAATATAGTTTCAAGTAAACATGAATTAGCAATTAATAACATCGAAACTGTATGACATGTTTTATCAATAATAATAATAAATAAAAAAATGAGAGGAAATATAATAGCAAGGGTAATACAGATAAGACCAATAATATCAAGAGGAATAAACCATAATTCAATATTTATTGTTGTCGTTGAAGTATTCCGAGTTGTCATTTTAACTTGAAAGTAGTTTCAAATATTTTCACTGAAAACAACGATCATAATATTCAAGAAGATAATAAATCTGTTGATTATGAACTAATGAGCTCTTTTAATACGATAATCCTATGACAATTAATATTTGATTGCGTGTTAATATCAACATTAATCATTGTTTTTCTAAGAAATCTTTGCGTCATTCATGAACTCTGAATCAATGGTACAATCAGTAAAAGAAAAGGTAATAAATAATTAACAATTTTATTCTCTCTATTCTTTCGCTTATGTTAAGTGAATCAATTCATTCATTTTTCTCTATGTAGCATATTGAATTATAAAAGGATTCGGTTGTTTGTCTAACTAATTACTTATTTATACTAACGATGAAGCAAAGTGAAGAACTTTTTGATGTTACGCAGACTAATGTTTACGATAGGATAGCTATGATAGAACAGATCGTGCTAATTAGCTTTTAATTGTTCCAAATGATTTAAGCGACATTTTTCAGTCGAATTTCATTTTTCACTACGATTAAGAACGAGCTAATGAAGTTTATGATCATATGAATGTGACATAAAAAATGATATTATCGATATTTGATATTCTTCAAAAAAATATCTAATTAATTCATTAAATATAATCTTTTTCAGTTTATAAATAATATTTTTAAAGATGAAAACTACATTGACATACAATTTTTTTTAAATAATAAGCTAAGAAATTGGTGTGTGAACGTTTTTCAGAAACAGCACTTTCAAAACTTGTGAGATTTCGTCTTCATTTTTCGAAAGGTTAAAAAATAATGTCACTATTACTTCATCAAATTTATCTTTCATTATCCGATAGTCTATGCGAAAGACAAAAAAATATTGTTCTGTTTGATCGACATTTTTCGATTAATTGTCAAATAGAAGCGAATACTATACCAATAAATTACACAAGTTCTGAAATAATCAATAAACATTAATTATTGATGAATGAGTCGTCTCCATCGTCTGAATGTTTCTTGAAATGTTTTTCTGTACAATGCTGAAGGAAGGACAAAGACAATAAAGATAAGTATCGATGGAGTAAATGAAATGAAATAACCAGAAATAAATAATAATCGATGATTAGATGGATTGACACATTCTGATAACATTGACATAATCAGACGAGGTAGGGACAAAATTAGAAGAATAATTGGACTGATTAGTAATTGTTTATGTTCACTAATTTGACTGTAAATATGTTCTTGCAGAGTTAGTCTTGTTTGAGCTGTTGATCGTTGTCGGGCGGATCCAAATATGATGAATAATGCAGAACAAAGGTTGATAATACATGGAGCGACAAGATGAAAAAATAAGATGATTGTATTGTATTGCTGAACAAAAGAAGAATAACGACTTAAACACCATCTATCGATATCCACTTCCTTTGTCTCTGTCTTTACCTCATACAGTTCTCGGTGTATAGGTTCGTGAATGATTGAACCCATGATACAGAATGGTAGTATAAGAATTATCCATCGAGCAATGCGTTGACTCTTTTGTTTATTGAATGCGATTCCTTTGAAAACAAGAATCGCTCTTTCAATAGCTACACACGCATTGAGCCAAGCATCCAAATAAAGACAAAGCTTGAGAAGTGGTTCGATCGATACACAACCACCTCGAACAACAGAAAGACGAATTGACAGATTTATTTGAGTGAGAACAACAAACCAAAACTTCACTGTAAATATACTGATTGTAAGAAACGAAGTAATCGATGACGCGAAGAGATAGATGCCACATCCAACTTTTCGTAGTTCTTTGCTCTGAAATGTTATTAGAGACAAAATACTATTGATTAAACCTCCAACAAACATAATCATCGTTAAAGCAGCATTGATTTTCACCAATATTGTTTGATCATTCAATGTCATATTCGGTCGAATTTCGTCACGTAAAATATCATCGAGAGTGATGCCAATACTCTTTTTGTAGAACTGACATTTCTGACCAATGAAACAACTGGTCAGAACTTGCGCTGAAGAAAGAAATGCATAGTTATCAAGCGATAAGATCAATCTTTCTCAACTTAACAAAGTCATGTAGGCACAAATCTGTAAGCAACAATAGTCTATCAAAGTCACTTATCTATACATGGTGTGTCGAGATTAAATTTCTATATTTTCATTTTCTGTTCAATGCCTAATGATGAATTTATTCAATCGTGTAAAGATGTTTCTGTATATGAACTCGGTTAATTTTCAGTAATAAGATCTCAGATAGTCAAATCACTAGAGAAACGTTACATGAATTTATTCAACTGATTGAATTCATACGATTTATCTAATCACACTAAGCTACAATACTGAAGCTTAATCTTATCTGATTGGAATATAATTGCTCAATTTCAAAAGAAGAAAGTCAGATACGATTCTATTTTTGAGCAATAATTCTAATGAATTATACGATCTATTTGAAATTCTCAGATGTTTTATTATTCAAGAATGAAAATGTAGTTTAGTGGGATGTTGTAATTCTCTACTGCTGGTTTACAAAATAATACAAAATACTTACTATAAGGATTAAGAGTGACGTTATCTGGGCCAGATGTTAAAATGGAAAAATTTCCTATTATATTCGGAAAAGATGTTGTCACCACTAATATGTATGTAGTGTCAGTGTGAAGATAAACGATCAATTTGAAATCTCGAAAACTACAACTTCGATAATTTTGTGAAAGTAGATTCTCGACAGGATTCATTGGATTAAAATCATCTTTATAAATATCACCAAAAGTATCCATACTACTATTACTACCCAAAGCATAGTATCCAGTTTCCACTACGTTCACTCGTATAGTTTCATAGTAATAATTTGATTTTCGACAATCTCGAGAATATGTTTGACTACTCGTAGTCAACTGTGATGAATAGTTCGATTGTACAGCTGACGAATATGGTATCTGGATGACTGATGGAGAGCCTGTGTGATGAAAACAAAAATAATAGTCAAGATTCGTGATAGATCTTGATTGACTCAGAGAAACACGAATCGTCTGGATGTAAGAAAGAAAATTGAGCATTATAAGACAACTCTTATATACCCTAAATATCGAAAGGCAAGTCGAAGCTTAGCGTAGCTTTCTGAAGAGATAACTCTCTATAATGTCACTCTCAATGAAATAACTACGCTGTAAATGGAGAGTAAGAACAGAATCTATAAACATTCTTCTATACTCGAACCCTCGATAATGTATGCCACGAATGAGTTTGGAATAACTTCTTTATTTCGAAAATGGATAATGTTCTACTGTTTTAGATAAAAAAAATGGTTTATTTATAGTCTAATTCTTCTACTATTGTAATTCATTCAAAACTTAAAGTACGTAAAGATATCTTTTAGATTCATACAAAGTAAGAATATGTTTATATTTTTTATCTACAATACATTTTATTTAAATGTTTGCAGCATTTTTTCATTATAGGAACATTGAGTGATAAGGCATATGGTGACAAAAAACAAGGTTTTTCTTATTTCATGGTCACGAATAGGGATTCATGCTGGTTTGTGCATTATTCACACCAGACTAGCGATCGATTGAAAGGGGTCTGTATTGAAGGAGATTGATTTAATCATATTCACAATATTCTGTTATTTAATGGATTTAATGTAGCGGTTTATGTCAAGCTTTCTTTTTATAATACAAATCTCATCTGACAAGACAAATTTCTATTGTTGATTATGCCAAACTCAACTAAATACTCATACTAACGTTGCCAGATATTCATTTAATAGCTGTAGCGCAAACACTTACTAATATTCTTGAGATCAACATTGTTTGGACCAGATACAAAGGTCGAGAATGCACCTATCATACAAGAACTCCATGTCGACGTTCTCACAATCAATATATATGTGGTACTAGTCTCAAGAGCAACTGTGAATCTCAACCGCAATTCATTGCAGGGAGCACTTTCGTATGCGAGTTGATTTTCATTTGGATTGGATGGATTGAAATAATCTGTGTAAAGGCGAGCGCTATATGTGGACATATTGGTTTTGCTGAAGAAAGTGTAAAGACCACTTGTACGAACATTCACTTGAATCGCTTCATAGTAAGAACTTGAACTTGAACACCAAATGAAATACGTTGAACTATTCGTTGTCAATTTTGATGCATAAACTGTTTGAACAACTGATGAAGTATTCACTAGCGAGAAAGAAAATGGATTTTATTTTGTATAACATAGAAATAAATGTAAACAACTTGAAATTTTATTTTCTCTTTCAAATACATTTATCAAAAGCGACTGGAAGTGATATGAATGTTAGTCTCTATCAAATAGAAATATCTGTATATGATTTTGTAAATTGCGTTTATCTATATTTTTTATCAATTATGAATATGTGCAATTGATTATCTATTAAAATAATATATACTCACAAATACGATTCAAACCGATATAGCTTCGACCAGATACTTGAATCGAAAAATTTCCTGTCATATTTGAAGCAGATGTTGTCATAACGAAAGTGTATTTCATATTGGCTTCAAGAAAATCTATGAACTGAAATTGACCTTGATTCCCATAGTCTCTGTTATGGCTGACGACATTTTTGAATGCATCGAATGCGTTGAAGATAATTTTATAGATATAAGCATACGTGGTTTTCATATCACTGTTGATTAGAAAAGTATAATATCCAGTTACAGTGACGTTCATTTGTATTGCTTCATAAAACGAATCGAACCCTAAACAGTCGTCGAAATAAGTTGAACTATTTGAGATCAGTGATGATGAATACAGTGATTTTGTTTGTAATGAATTATCTATTGAATGAAAAAAACCGATGAGTATTCGTATTTAGAACAAAGAAAAGAAATGATTGCGCATATTCTTAGTTTGCTTTTCACTCTGTTTACTAATAAGAATTAAATCGTTTGTTTTAGAGTAATACTTTTAATAGAAGAATATGAAATAAAATGTCTATTTCACGTCCTTACAATAAGTATTGATGTTAGCCATTTAAATCCGCATGTTATTCTGAAGAGACATTGCAATAATTACAATAAAGAAACGTTATAAAATATCGTATACAAGATTTTTATTTTATAACACTAGTATATTAGGATGGCTCTTGAAATTTAAATTTGGATTTAACTATTCAATAATTCAGTTCGAAATTCATCAGGAGCTTGACTTTCATCTTCTATGATAGTTTTTTGTTTTTTATTCTCTGAATAAATATTAATTGAAATCATATTTGACACTTTATCCAATCATTCTAAACTTACCACATAATTCTTCCAAATATTGAAATTTTTGAATTCTATGATTTTGTTGATCAGTAACAAATATATTTCCAGAACGATCAAAACTAAAACTAAATGGATTATACAATTGATTGGATTGTGAACCCTCTCCATAACATCCAACTAAACATCGAAAACCATTCAAGCCTGAACCAACAATACGATGGTTGTTCCGCTCTACAATGAATAAATATTTTTCAGCATCTAATATAATTCCACTTGGACAATCAAGTTTAATTGTTGGATTTAGTGATTTACTTCCAGCTACTGTGATGCCATTTGATTCTTCCGACCGAAACAACTGGACACGATTATTCTGACAATCTGCTACATATAAATCCAAATTCACATCGACAAAGATTCCCATAGGACCTTGAAGTTGATTCAAGTCTGTTCCTTCAATGCCTGTTCCAGCGGCAACACGATTTGAACTCATCACAGAATCATTTAGTAATCTTTTTACTACTTGATCATGATCGTACATTGAACAATAAAGAGTATCATTGATATCGACAAACAAACCAGAACATGATGAGTTGACATTCATCACTGTGACAAAGTTATTTGTTTCTGCGATCCATTTCTGTACTCGACCATTTTTAAATCCATCATCAATATAAATATCACCATTGATGTCACGAAGAGAGAAGTGGAGTTTGTAAAATTACCGTCAATGGTGTTTGTTGGGTTGACACTCTCTTCTTGCCATATTACAATTGTGTTACTTTCTTGATTAGCGACATAAATTGTGTTGTTTCTATTCACAAAAATGGCGGTAGGATCTTGACCAACAATCGAGTAATTAGAAAAAGTAATTCCATTGGAAAACCAATTGGCTGTTGAACAAAACTTTGGCTGATTGAATGAAAGAGCTAAAAATAAGAGAAATATAAAAAATATTAGAGAAGAACTGCAAACGAAGTGAAATTGTAAATTTATATATTCGTAGAAGAAAAATGAAGTTTCTTCAAAGAAATTTTTCGTGGAGAAGACATTTAGAAATATTTGCTAACATTGATTTTAGGAATGATTTTTATTAGTTTTGATATGAAATATTTGTCGAAACACAAATTTCAATTTTCAAAAATTTATTCAAAGTTTCTCAAACTTTGTTCTAATAAACAGTTAAAGTTAATTTAGAGAAGAAATCAAAGAGAAACGACAAATGCCGCTATGTTATTTCAGTTGTCTATATTATTGGAAATATAACTTGATTTATCTTAGTAAATTTCATTAAGAAATAAAAATAATGTCACTAGATGTCATATCGGTACTGAATAAAAAAGAAAAGAAAAATGAGAGAAAAAAATAAGATTTTTTGTGATTCACAAAAAGCCTTCTTGTCTCTCTACAAACGTTCTTCATACACAATCTTGCGCGAAGATTTTTTATCTCAATAAATTTCAAAGTTTTATCAAAGATCACAATATTTCGCCTTTGTTCAATATAAATAAAACAAATCTTTCTTTGTAATTTTAATGGTACTTTACAAATTTGAATTTTTTTTTCTATAAAAAACGAAGAAAAATTAGTTAGAAATGTCATATTTTATATGTTCCATTTTTTTTGGAATCAAATATATCGAAATATGAAATATTCTTTGAGATGTGTGAAATGAAATATGAAAGCCCTTTCTACCACTTCATTAAGAACACAACTTTTTCTTTATTTATTCTGTAATGTGAACAAAAAGATGAAGATTGTTTGTCGTAGACGATTGGTACATAGCTCTGCCTAATTCGAATATTTCATTTCATTAGATACATTATTTTACAAATTGGTTTAATTAATCTTTCTCAACCATTTTTATTTTCTTTTGTTTTCTATATTAGATTGTCTTTATTAACGTCTATTACTTATCTATTCACATTTCTTTAACTTACCAAAAGAATCTTTCATCAGCAAAAATTTTTGAATTCGATCATTTAATCGATCAGAAACAAATATGTTTCCAGAATGATCAAAACTAAAACTAACTGGATATTCGAGTTGATTGGATTGTGAACCTATTCCATAACATCCAACTAAACATCGAAAACCATTCAAACCTGAACCAACAATACGATCATTGCCACTATCCGCAATGAATAAATATTTCTCAGCATCTAATATAATTCCAATTGGGCAACGAAGTATAATTGTCGGATTTAGTGATGTACTTCCAGCTACTGTGATGCCATTTGATTCTCCCGGTTGGAACAACTGAACTCGATCATTATTACAATCTGTCACATATAAATCCAAATTCACATCGACAAAAATTCCACCAGGACGATCGAATTGATTCGAATCTGATCCCCATACACCTGTTCCAGCAGCAACACGATTTGAACTCATCACAGAATCATTTAATGATCTTTTTACTACTTGATCATGATCGTACATTGAACAATAAAGAGTATCATTGATATCGACAAACAAACCAAAACACGATGACTTGACATTCATCACCGTATCAAACGTACCTGTTTCTACCATCCATTTCTGTACTCGACCATTCTTAAATCCATCATCAATATAAATATCACCATCTGATGTCACGAAGAGAGAATAAGGATTTGTAAAATTACCGTGAATGATCTTTGCTGGACTGATATTCTCTTCCTCCCACATTAGAATTGTGCTATTTTTTTGATTAGTGACATAAATTGTGTTGTTTCTGTTCACAAAAATGACGCTAGGACTTTCACCAACAATCGATTGATTAGCAAAAGTAATTCCATTAGAATCCCAAATGGGTGTTGAACAAAACTTTGGTTGATTGAATGAAAGAGCTAAAAGCAAGAAAAATATAAAAAGTATTAAAGAAGAACTGTGAACAAAATGAAATTGTCAATTTTTAATTTTTAATTTTTCTTGAAAACATTTCTATGATTGTTGCTCTATTTTCTCGGATGATCTGTAAATATGAATTAAAAGAGTTCTATCCTTGAGAACATGTGATTATCATTGAAGACAAAAAGAAATAATTAAATAATTTTTTTTATTTGTTCAACGAAAATGAATACAGAAGAGGAAAAAAGAATTGTTTTAGAATGAAAATGAGTTTATTGAAATTGATTGAGATCTAAACAAAATGCTTTTGAAAATAAAAATCAATTCTAATTTTCATATAAAAACCATTATGAATTGAATCTTATATATGAAAGAGAGATGAACATTTTCTTGCTAACTTTAATTAAATAGTCATTCGAAGAAATTATTTAAAAAAGATTATTTTTTTTCTTTCTTTTGAAATTCTCATCTAATTAAACAAAACAAATTTGAAATCGATCTGAACCAAACTTATATTGAACAAAACCAATTTCCTCTAACTTTTTTGTCAAATAATAATTCGATTTAATCAAACTTTTCCTCTTATTATTTCAAGTTGAATATATTAAAGTACACTCATTCTCTAAATCGCAAAAAAAGTCTCGCATAGCCGCTGCAAGAGATGAGAATCATCAATTTTGAATATATAACAAAAATTCTTGTCAAATTCTATAATCTATTATTTCACTCTCTTTTGTCCAACTAAAACTCTAATGAATAGTGCCATTTTTGTACAATAGTTAATCTTTAGTGTGTGATAAATAAAATTGTTTACCTATTGTTCTATTGTTGAAAATGAACAGAAGAATAACGAATAATACATAGATATTCCACATCATTCGACAAGAGGTATTTTTGATAAATTAGTTAACTAATAAAATGATCTTCTTCTTCTTCTTTGTCTACGATGAAAATAAAATGAGACTTGTTGTAGATTTTCACTCTGATTATATATCACTCTTTCTCTCTCATGCATTTCTTGCAACATAACATACAAAGAGAAAAAATAATTTTCTAGAGAAGATTTCATCATGGATAAGATAAAAAATTGATTTTCGATTGGATTAATGAACAAAATTCATGATTTAATATGATATTTTTTATTGAATTTTATTCGTTTCAGAATTCATATTCGATATAATAATTTTTTTTTAAGATTTCACAGAAAAATCTTTGATTTTAATGAAGAAGAACGTGATGAGAAGAAAGAAGAATTGATCAAAATCTATGTTAATTATCGGACGTGTTTTAACTGGAAATAAGATATCAACTATCATTGTCAATAAATGATGGACGTCAATGAATAAGTCGTGATTAGTTTGATGTCTTTTTTATTTGACTCTATTAAATAATCTGTTTTGTCAAGACTCATTTTAAATCACGTTCTTTATTTCTCTACGCAATAAGTATCTATGAGAAAAGATTCCTTCTTTAAGTATCTCGATCTGTTTTATCATAAAAACTCGTTAGATATATACAAAGCAAAGAATATGTCGCAAAATCTAGAATCAAAAAATTTAGAAACAAAAAATCTAGAAAATAAAAATCTGGAAAATAAAAATTTAGAAAAATAAAAATCTAGAAAGAAAAATCTAGAAGAATGAAAATCTTACAAAATACTAGAGAAAGTCGAAAACTTTCGATAAATAGATTTATTCTTGTTCAACAAAAAAAGAAAAAGCAGAAAAAGTACCAAGCGACAGGAGATAAAGGTCGTGTGTGGGTTTGGATATTCTCTTTAGACCAAGAAAGGACACTCACACCCTCACCAATCCACCATCGGTCTATTAATCAAACATACGATGCTCTTTTATATAGCGTTACTCGAGTACTTGTTAAGAAGATGATCAAGGGACCACACACTACTATCAGCCAATTCAGTTTAATAGTAATGTCGCGATTGATTAAAGTCATAGCGAGACCTGAATAGCAAAAAGTCGGTCTGATTTTGCTTCATCGACATCAATAAATTTTTCTAGATATATCGTTTCTAGATTTATTTTTTCTAGATTTTTCTTTCTAGATTTTTTAGTTCTAGATTTTTTGTTTCTAGATTATTTTTTCTAGATTTTGCGACATACCAAAGCAAAGATGTCCATCGCGACATAGTAGATTCTTTTGAGATAAATCATAAATTCAACTCTAAATTGAATATTTGCAAGGGCAACACTCTGATAATGGGTGAATCTTATGAATTAGTAGGAAAAGTTCCATTGAAATATAATTATAGTCGTGAAATGTAGATCAATAATGTAATATTCTTTACAATCTGATAGCGATGAGTTTTCAAGCACGATAGATATCTATAATTCAAATTTATTTTTCAACGAGAGATGAGAAATGCATTCCCTAGTGAAACTACTCATCAAGCGAGTACGACTTACCAACATGAGTACTCACTAGAGTACTCGTATATTTTTTTTGGAGAATAACTCAACGAAACAGTTATCCAATTTCAAATATAAAATATAAAAAAATAAAATAAAATCAAAATAAAGTTTGTACAATGTAATTAGATATGAAAACGTATTTTACATGCTCCTTTTTGTTCATTATCTTTTGTATCATTTCCCATGATTATATCAAGCCAAACTAGTTATATTAAAATAGAGATGATGTAATCTTTTATATCATTAGAAAAGATTTTTTACTCTCTTTTCTTCGTTCTTTAATATTAAATATTTTATTATATTTTATCTTGTTTCTACTACGTACCAAGAGAGTACTCGAACTCTTAACATTCATGACAAATATAAAATACGAGTACTTAAACATCATAAGTTCTCGTGACATTTTCTAGCGTGAGTACTTTTTGAGTACTCGTGTATGAGATATGATGTACATTAAGCGTATGTTACTAAAATATCTAACGCAAAGGAAATTATCAAATTTGATTTCGAGCCATATTGCCTGCAGAGCAGAAAATGAGAAATTCTCTTTTAATAAAAAAGTTTGTGACGTTTCGTATCTTAAAGAGATACTTCTTCCGACGTTAAATTTATAGCAAATTCTTTAATATATACAAAATAAATTAGTTTTTTTTCTTTCTCTCAAATGTCTGATATAATGCGAAATTAGATAAAGAAAAGAAAATGTTCTGGAAGCACATAAAAAGAATTGTAAACAAGAAATATTATTAAGTATTCACATAACGGATAGAAAAGAATGTCGACGTTGTCTCCTCTAAGTGCATCGTTATTGTTCGTGCAACAGATATTTACACATTATGGTTTCCCAACAATGCTTGCTTTTGGGAATTTAGGAAATCTACTTAACATTTTTCTGTTTCTCAGAAAAACATTACGTAAAACTTCTTGCAATATTTGTGAGTAAAATTATTATTAACGAAGAATATTAATAATAAATGAATTCTTTAGATTTTTTGGTCTCTGCTTTTACAAACTTGATAGGAATCAATGTAGGGATTATTACATTAGTCTACACATACGACTGGCCATCAGCTACGACAACAACATATTGTAAGACTCGAAGTTATGCATACAATGCATCTCAACAAATGTCTCGATTTTTAATTGTTGCCGCTTGTTTTGATCGTTTTGCTCTATGCTCAAATAGTGTTCGTCTTCGAAAAATTTGTCAAGTGCGCATTGCATGCCGATATATTATTCCAAGTATTATGCTTGTCTGGCTTCTTATACCATTACACGTACCCATCCTTTTTACCAGTATAGGAAATACTTGTGTATTTCCAGGTGCAGGAGCACTCTACAATAGCATCTATAGTATTGTCATGGTTAGTCTCGTGCCACCTGGACTTATGCTTATTTTTTCTCTACTCATATTTCGTAATCTTAAAATAAGACAGAGACGACGACAACAAATCCATCCATTACCGGCCAGCACTTCTGCTGCAATAGGAATCCGACAACAACAAGCAAAAGATCAACAAGTCTTAGCAATGTTATTGATTCAAGTGTTTGCCTATGTGAGTTCAACAATATTCTATACAGTCAATTTATTATATTCTACTTTGACAATGAACGATGCAGCAAACAAATCGATTGAACGCAAAATAATCGAAGGCTTTGCTACATTTTGTGCTGGGATACTTCTCGTTGGTTGTCCATGTTTATCATTCTATTCATTTACATTAGCTTCTCGTCTGTTTCGAAAAGAACTCAAATTGATGATACTTCATGCTTGTGGTAGATGGTTGCATTGCCCACAGATGATAAACAACAACAGAATTATTCCTACTGACAACAGTAATTTGACACATAAAGTCACCAACCGATTTGAACATATGCAGCGGTCAATTGCAGTACCACCACCACCACCTATCTCTGCTGTTCACTAATTGACAGTTTTAAATAAAAAAAAAACTATTATTTCTTCTCACTATCTTGGGGGTGTGAGTGTGAGTAGGATTCATCCACACCCAGAAAGAATCAACTATTTATTAAAGTAACATACACAATCAAAAACGTGTAATATAAATCGTTAGAAAAGAAACTAACATATCAAATTTAATTTGATACTACAAAAAAAAACAAAATACCCTTTAGGATTATGTGTGTTTTTTAATATCACGCTCAAATTGTGACGTAGATAGTTGAGTTTTGTTTTCAAAAGATAGCCCGTGCAATTCTCTACAAAATCTAAGGAAAAGAGTTGCTCGAGCGATTAATTATAGAACTACATCCGATCAATGTTGCAGTGCTCCAAAATAGCACACTTTCAGTATACTCGTTTTCATATTAACGATTTTGTGCCGCTCTCTTGAGGGTGGGTGTGGATGTATGATTAATACAATATCCACACCCTCAAGAATAAATATAGTCAACGACATAAAGTGTATCTTTATATTGTAATTCTTGTCTTCTCACAATCAATTCTGATTACATTTTATTCTATTGTATTACCGATCATATTTTTCTCTTAAGTTCTATTATTAAATTAAAAAGAATAATTATCTCACAATGATAATATGTATAAAAAATATACATTAAAATACGTGTTTTTATTTATTCGATTATTTTTAAATAAAAAGAAATATCTCGATTTAAAAATACAAACAAAAACAATGAATGTATCGTTAACTTGAGATGACGTTTATTATACAGTATTCATTTTTTATTTATATATATACATAATGATCTTATGATTTTACTATACTAGGTTTTTTCATTTACTTTTTTGTATTCTTGATTGTCTGATTATGCTATGTTCAAATTGGTTTGTGATTCATATTTCGTCCATTTGTTATTTTTGTTGATTTAAGTAGTCCATTACTCAATCGAATTCTTTATTGGACTGATACAACTTGACTACTACGTACGAATATGGCGGTAACAGTTTGCTTCCATGAGATGGACATTTTCTTTCTTTTTTCCTTGCTCGTTACTTGAATTTTGTCAACTTCATCATTGTATTACAAGTGAGGAAATAAAAGTTGCTTTTTAAGGATGTAGCCGCGGGTTTGAATGTGAATGTAGGTGACTGAGGGTAAAGTGAGAACTATACTCTTTACCTTGGCCTACACCCACACCCTCAAGATACATTGTTATCTGTTGATAGGTATGGAAAAAAGTTATCTCATGCAAGTAAATACAAAGAAAAACATTGTGTATACAAGACATCTCGCTTTAACTAAACAATTAATTATTGTTCATCAATTGTTTCGATTTATCAAGTAAATTAATTTTAATTTATGTTAATTTCATCTTTACAATAGACAATATAATTTAAAGATATTTTTTCCTCTTTATTGAGTTTAGATATAGTAACAAGATAATCTAAAAAACATTTTTTTACATAATTACAAACAATAAATAGATTGCTATATATTATAGCTGTGTGTATTAATTATTTACGTAATCAGAAGTTCCTTAGATCATAATAATAAGTAATAACACGATCAAAATGTCCATCGCAGCCATTCAGATAAACTTTTGTGTTACATTGTAGTGCATAAAAAGGATTTTGCTTCAACGATCATTGTCAGACTTGTGTTCGAATTTTGACTGTATACTAGATACAAGGACACGTCTTAGTTTTTTGAGTCAGTAATGTTTTTCTGAAATTTGAATAAAATATCAAGTTCTTGAGCACAAAATGCATGGTGTGGGTTCGAATCTGAAGACAGTAACATTGACAGATAACATTAGACATATATTTCAATCAAAGTGAAATTATGAATTGTGAAGGATTTAGCCAAAGCTCTCATAATTCTAACGGTTCCTAAGTAAACCAGAAGAACTATATCGACTCATAACTGATCTTTGATTGTGTAGCCTTGGCAAACGACAATAGACTCTGGTGGACTCTTACAGAGCCATCTTATCATTTACTGAGCCTGAGAACACGTGAAAAAGTTTGAGTCAACGATACATTTACTTGAGCCAATAGATGGAACCAATGTGGATTGTCTATGATCTACAGGATTTGATTGTAACAAGAAATAACACACGTCTACTCACACCCTAAACATTCTTTAGTCCAATTCAAAAAAGTACTGCTGAAACAGTTAACTAGTTGTTGTTTTTCAGACACTCTTAATTATAAACAGAAGACTAAAAGAATACTCATCCACATTCTATATTATCTTCTTACCAAACACATACATTAACGCCATCTATTTGCACAAAACCAACCATTCGTTATTGAAATTACACCTAGTCAATTCTTTTAACGACAAGTTAATTGTATTATACGCCAAACACTCTTATCACAGCATACAAAATTACTTTCGATAACACGTGCTATAAAAGCAACATCACATATTTTAGCAGTCTTCGTCAAAATCTAACAAAAGTATGTACACATTTCTTATATTACCAGTAGAGCTCGTTTACCGAATTATGGATTATGAGACCGATTTTACTTTGTTCTGGTCTATGCAAGATGTCTGCCAGCGATTCAATCGAATCCGTAACAGTTATCCACGATACCAAGTAAGTCGTCCATGTAGTTTCAATGCGTAGCTATCATTCGTGCAATCCATAAGCCTAATAAAATATCATTCAATAAGTCATTACAAGACAACGTAATTCATCAAGTCAAAAGCATTTAGGGAAAGCTAGTCAGTCATAATACTAAGTAATCTTTTAAACAACGATCATTGCTTCTTTCTATTTTTCCCTAATGATTATTTTGATAAAACTGTAATATAATTCTCTCCAGTAATGGGATCATCAGAGAAGGATGTGGACATGGGTGTAGATCTTGATGGAAAGAGTAATCATATTCACAAATGCAACCACAACCATACTCATACGCACACCAACACCCACAACCTCAAAATCTCGTATGTCTTCTTTACACAGACACTCACCACACTTGATCTCGCTTACAATCAAATCGGAGAGAAGGGGGCACAATGTCTTGCTGATTCATTAAGAAACAATACAGTAAATCTCATTCTCTCGTCAACTACCTAGTGAAAAATTGTCAGATTATACCACATTATGTAAGATTAGAATCAAATTTTTGTGCAACAAAATCAGAATTATAATCGATTGAAATCTTTCAAATCAACAATAATTCGATTTTTAATCAAAAAAAAATCTTCTAAATCAAATATAATTTTGATTAAAATCATGTAGTTCTGATTACAAATATAGTAAATAAAGTTTGTATGGTTTTAATCAAAATTATATTTGATTTAGAAGATTTTTTTTTGATTAAAAATCGAATTATTGTTGATTTGAAAGATTTCAATCGATTATAATTCTGATTTTGTTGCACAAAAATTTGATTCTAATCCTACATAATGAGGTATAATCTGACAATTTTTCACTGGGATATCTCATTCAAACATTTACACTTTTTCACGGTCAAAAAAAGTGAGCTTTACGCGTAGACTTCACGTTTGGAGCTTGTTTTTCCATCCATACTTTACCCGAAAGTTTTCGATTCATGTTTTACAACATGTAATAGGCATCTTTGTAAAAAGTCAGTCTCGAACAAGTATTGACCTGTCTCAACGCCCAGAATTGCCGTTCTTAAAGCAGAACACAATTGCTCTGTTCTGGGAATACTACTTCTGGGTTCGGAGTAATATTGTTCTGTTCTGGGAATACTACTTCTGTATTATGAGTAATATTGTTCAGCTATGAGAATCAATTTTCTGATCGCTGCTACTTAATTAAGTAATGATTATAATTAGTATTGAAGGTGTCAGATTGCCTATTTTCAGAATTTTGAAAGGGTTCGACGAAGAGCTAGGTACCCTCGCATAGGCACATAATAGTGTTTGGTAAAATGTGAATGGTCGGATGTTCGAATCGCAAAAACGACAATTTAGAACTAGCGCCTCGTGTGGCTCACTTTTCTTGACCCTTTTTCACATAGACACTCAATACACTGAGTCTCTCATTCAATCAAATCCAGGACAAAGTTCTATGTGGCGTAAATGAACTTATTCAGAAGAATAAACGATTGGCAAAATCGTAAATGTTAGTGATGAACATACTGTGGTGTTGAATTGGAAGAATATGCGTATGGTCTCATTAGGACTTCATTGAATGGGTGACTTAAAATAACAGTAAAGATTTTTGGGATGGGTGTGGGTGTGGGCGTGGATGTATCTTCTTTATCTCACCCACACCCACCCTACCCACACCTCTTCTACACCACACACTCACACCCTCACTCAAAACTTTGATTAGGACATGTCGATAGAATAGCAAAGTGTGATTTATATGTGATTCTAGCGAAGTCCGCAGCATACAGATAATAAGAGATGGTCTGAATGGGGTAGTAACGAGTCTTGTTAGATGCAGCGCATTGATCATAAAATATTCGAGTATTTACTAGAATCCTTACATTTGTGCAGAAATCTGTCTTTAAATATTTGAATATTATGTGGTCAGTGAACCACCTCTAACAAATGGATTAATTTCGCCACTGGAGAAGTCTTCGTCTATTGAGTTCTTTTTGTTTATCGGCGAATTGATCGTCCTCGAGATTTTCGAAAATATTCGCGGGCGGCTTTTTCAGCATCTGGTGGCACATTAATCTGACCATTCGGCTCGACCAGTCTAAATTCGCCGTGGGACTCTTTGCTTCGGCGAATAGCGCGCTTCACAAGTTCAAATAGGTCGTTAGTATACATTTTACCATCCAAACCATCGATTATTTCGATAATTCGTTCTGTGTAGGAACTTTGCGTCTGCTGATCTTGTGTATTACTTACAGCACAATAGCGATTGCCGCATGAAGTCAATAGCGCATGCAGATCATTTGTGGCACCTTCCTGAAGAAAGTCTGCAAGACATTCATCTGCACTTTTATCAATTTGATGAATAGCATCTTCGTGAGTGAACACAACAATACAAAAGGCCAACGCTTGCTCTCCAAACATATATTTTATCCATTGAATGGCGTCCTTTTCTTCGCGTGTGTAGCGAGTATCGCAGCGGATACATAGAAGAAAAGCATGCACCCCAGACATTACTGCCTGAATGCAAGCAGTGACTTCTCGTTGGATCCACAATTCATCTCGTGCAGTATCAAAAAGACCAGGTGTATCTACGACAATAAGGTCTCGTTCAGCGAATGTTCTTTGTCCAGCTTGGCAGCGTTCAGTTATTGATTTTGCTGCGAACTCGGCGACGAAAAGCTGCTCATCGAGCAGCATATTTGCTAGTGTACTCTTTCCTGAATAGAAAATGTTTGTTTGCTTTCGTGTAAAATATGAATAGTCGGTATATTTTATTCGTTCTTCGAAAAAGTGGGTATACGAAGATTTAATATTTTCTTGAAATGCTATGTAAGTAGGGATTTAGGCAGGTTGAGAATTTGAAGAAGATGCGGGATAGATATGCACGAAGATGCCAGTACTACGTTGCTGTCACTCACACCCGTCTTCACATCCATTCACTCTAACAAATCGAGATCTCGTTTCTCAAACTATTTCACAGAAATCGAGTTTGAAATATGGCAAGTTGTTTTCCTTACTTGCCACTCGAACATCTTATCACTCAGATAAAAACAACTCCTACGAGGACATTCGATCGAAACTATGATATAACAATGAAACATAAATTTGACCCGCATTTTCATCGAACCGAATGGAAACCGAGCTCGGCCTCTAAAAGTTACGAAAAGAACTGTGTCTACGTAAGTCAAGATTGCTTCTGGTTCGTCGAGGAACTTGTTATAAGGTCCCTATTCATGCTTCAAATATAATTTGATGGGCACAATCGAATGTTATTTTGAAATTTTCAATAGCTGGAATCAAAAGGCTCAAATTTATTCAAATATTAGCTTATCACCACGCGATGAAAGTTAGCAACAGACTTAAAGTTTCCTTCTTGACATTTATTTGTGGCCTTAGATTAAGTTTTTAAACACTTGACTTAGCTGCTAATTTAAATTCTATATCGAATGGTCCTTCTAGTCAGGCAAGCGTTGCAAAAAACGACGTTTTTACGCGTTAAAAAATTGTTTTTGTAAGAAAATGAATTTCACAACGTTAATATTTTCAAGCTGATATTCATTTGCCGACTTATGGTGAGTGGTTACTGAGAATATGAAATCAAATTAGAAAATGAGAGTGTGAGAACGGTCGGTGATCTGAATAATAAAATTTATCTCATTCACACCTCCCACCCTCAATACACTCACTATTCATCATTCTGTCATTCACATTCTAAAACTTATCCTCATCCAGCGACTTGCCAGCCGCACATTAGCTGTCGCTCACGTTATAAATTGCGCTTACGTTAGGATAAGTTTCAGGGCGAAGTCGACACTAACTTCATTTGCGCATCGATTCGATCTCCTTTAGGAATGTTTTTTCTTACACTCACCAAATTACGTTTGTCAGCGACTTTTACTCACCTACACCAGTTTTTCCGAGGCATACAATTTTCAAGGCTTGACGATAAGTGTCGCTGCTTGAAGTGGAATCATTGTATATACTATCGTCATCCAAAGCCTGTGCAAAAAAAATACAAAATGATTCTTCATGAGTCATATTCTACCTTAGCATTTCCCTTCGTTGCCCAGTTGTTTTCATCAATTAAGTGTCGTGTGGACTTCTCCACAGTGGGTGATTTTGAATTCATATTCATAGTATTTCTTAGCACTTGTGTAACATCAGTAACCATATAGAATGCAGATGTGCCTTACACATAAATCGTTTTGCTTAACATCATTTCTTTTTTCTGCTTTTTATTTTTTACCTTTTTCTCTGCTTTTATTTTTCATTTTTTATCTTTTCTCTGCTTTTTTTTATTTTTTTGTTTTTTCAGCTTTTTATTTTTCCATTTTTATCTTTTCTCCGCCTTTTTTTTGCCTTTTTTTCTGCTTTTTATTTTATCTTTCTTATCTTTTTTCTGTTCCTTATTTTTTTTCTTTTTTCTTTTTTTACAGCTTCTTATTTTTTTATTTTTTTCTTTCATAGATAACAACAAAAGCACCTTTTCTCGTGCATTTCTAATTTATCGAGAAGCATGAAGACTACCTTTCTCTCTTATGTGCCCTATTCGTAAATAAAAAAGTTTTTTTTTTCGTTTGTTTTTATGCGATGCTGAATATTGCGCACGACATAAAAAATCCATATTTTATGATCCGTATGATCATGAAAGTTCAACTAAGCAAGTTAAATAAGTTTAATTGAAATATTTTTAAGAAGGCATATGATTAACTTCATATGCTCATTGATTACTAAAGAGTATTCAAAACTAATGACCGAGGTACATCGTTCTCGTATAGAAAGCTTGAGGAAATTTTCTTTTTCTATAAGATGGCAGAAAATGAAGCTGTATTTTTCTATGCTATTTGATCATACTTCACTAATATCATAATAATAAAATTTCGATAAGAACTGTTTTTGTGTAAAATTTAGCTGATGGGTGGACCATAGTGAATCGCCGTGTTTCTAGTATATTTTATGATCAAAACGAACTATACCTAAGATGAAGTGTGAAAAGTTTTACAATCTAAAAAAATAAAGCTTATCTTAGTTGTTATATCTATGTTTTTTATGATAAAATATATATTTTTTATTTCTACTGTATCTTTGTGTTTGTATTCTGTACCGAGCTATATAGTATGAATATTTTATCTCGTGCACAAATCATTTGTGTGCAAGTTACTCCTACGTATCTTACGCTACGCAAATTTCGTCGTGTGCAACATTCGTAGATTCCCTGTCATTTTGCAGAGAAAGAACAAAATTTCGTCTTATTTACAGTGCAGTTTGAGTAAACGTCCAGTTATATTATCTACCAACAGCGAAACTACCAAGACAATTATACTTTTGGAATGAGTTTACTTGCTTTAAAAAATGGAAGCCAATCTACAAAATATGATGACACTACGCGGTTTGATCAGTCTACCATACCGGTGAGTAATAAAACTTCTGGTTTGAATTAATTTTCGCAAAATTTCTTTGATTTATAGTTGAGAAAAGGTGTACATGATAACAATTCCTTTGAGTCAAGTAGCTCTCTGTGCGCTACTATCGTTGTCTTACGTTCGAACTCAACTAAAAATATCTCTTTTAAACTGACATCTGTTTCAGTTACGATACGTGAATTCTCAGATTTAGAACAATGCATGGAATACATGGATGAGATCTTGACGCCAAATGTTTTTCTTGTTGTGCTCGGTGTGTGGGATCCCATCACAATCAGTAAATTGGATTTACGCCCTCAGATAATTGGAATTTATTACCTGGCATCAGAGAACGGAAATGTACAACATGCTCAACATGCTGAAAAAACATACAGACGATTTTGTCAAGCATTTGACACTGAAGAAGTGTTCTTCGCGAAACTCTCTTATGATATAAGTATGTGGTGGAATAATCAAGCATCTTTCAGCTTCCTCAGCCCCACTCATATTGAAACTAGTGGTGTCGAGCCTACTGTACGAGATATCGTCACTAATCAGAGCTCCTATATTTGGTTTCGTGTGTTAACTGATGTCCTTATTCGCATGCCACGAGCATCGAATCAAGCGCGACTCGATATGGTCAGAACATGCAGAGAGATCTATGTCGACGATGACAGAACACTACGCTCAATAGAAGAGTTTCAACAAGATTACACTCCTCAAAGAGCAATGTGGTGGTACACTCGTGACAGCTTTTTATATCGCACAGTGAACCGGGCATTACGATCTGAAAATATTGATAATATTTTCAAATTTCGCTTCTTTATAAAAGATGTATACGAACAGCTTGCCAAGTTGCATACAGCGAACGCTGAACTTATGACAACACAGCGCATTGTATTGTATCGCGGCCAGCATGTCACTAGGCAAGAAATCGATGTGCTGCGGGCCAATCGTCACAGTTTCATGTCATATAATACATTCATGTCGGCTACTGTGGATCGCGATGTAGCACTTGCCTTCTCGGGTAATGGTGATAGCCGTCCACTTCATGAGTCGTTAGTTTTCGAAATTCATGCACAATATAAGCCTGGTACGCGTCCTTTTGCGTCTATACAAGGTTACAGCGCATTTGAAGACGAAGGTGAATACCTATTTGCGATGAACAATATCTTTTATATTGAGTCGATCGAACCTAGAGGCAATATATGGTACTCAAAGCTAATTCTCTCTGGAGACTCTGATATTCTTCCTACAGATTTGTTGCGGTATCTTCAATCTGAAATGAGTGATAAAACCGACACTCATACACTCGGTGACTATCTGGCAGAGATAGGAGATTATGAACGTGCACAATACTACTATGATGAACCAATTGAACAAGATTTGAATGAACACGAAAAGGGTGTTATGTTTAACAATTTAGGATGGCTTCATGAACATAAAGCGTCTTATACTCTTGCTTTAGAAAATTATAAACAATCGTTGAAAATCCAGCACGAACAGAAAAAAGAGTATCCTTTGGACTACGCAGCAACACTCAATAACATGGGTATGGTGTATTATGCGAAACATGATCCTGAAACAGCTTTGAACTATTTCCGACAGTCGCTAAGTGAAAAGCGACGCATGGCAGAGCCGCCGCACGATTCTATTGGTATCACTTTAAACAATATTGGACTTACTTACCAGTGGATGGGTGATTTCGAAAAAGCATTGAAGAACTACACTGAAGCCTTAAAGTCACAGAAAGAAAAACTTCCAGAAAATCATCCATCTCTGACTACAACATATAGTAATATTGGTACAACTTTCTATCAACTGGGAAAAACTGACGAGGCACTTGAAGCCTACGACAATGCCCTGCAAATATGTAACAACATTTTGTTTCCTGATCACCCGTGTATTGCTCGAATTAACGTTCAAATTGGGAGAGTTTTCGAAACCATAGGGCATGAATACATACCAGCTATCAGCCACTATAAACAAGCGCTTGATATACAACTAGCGCGTCTTCCAAAAGATCATCCAGATATTGCTGCTACTTATGTTCGTTTGGGTTCTGTTGCCTGTTTGCGGGGAAATTACCAATCTGCCATCGAGAACTACACTCTTGCTTTAGATATCTATTCCAGTAATCTTATTCAGAACTACCCCAATTCTGCAGTCGCATACAACGACATGGGACTTGTTCACGAAAACGAAGGAAATTATGCGCAAGCTCTGGAAGCTTATAAGAAAGCAAAGGATTCTTTCTTAAAAACTTATCCGTCAACACATCATATGTTGAGAACTGTTTACGAAAATCTTGGAAGAGTTAGTGAATTGACGGACGATTACGAGAACGCCTATGTCAATTATGATATTGCCCTACGTATCAGCCGAACGAGCCAAGGCAAGAAAGGTAACTTGCCGTATCTTCAAACAAAAATAAAACTTCTGCAATTGACACTGAAGAAGCATGTAAAAATAGTACAGAGAAATAACTTTCCACACGTGTCTCTTTTCTGGACTTTCTCGCTATCTATCGTCCTGGCTGTGTTATGGTCTTTTTTTCTTTCATTCTATCGATAAGATTAACAGAAACATAAATATACGGCCAAATTCGATGAAGTTAACAAATAGACTACAGTATATGTAGTGTGAAGTATGAGTGTGATTGTAGGTTTTTTTTGGATTGATTTGAAATAAGACAAATATTTATTTATATTTATCTCTCTGATTCTCACATATGTTGTATTATTAAAAACAGTAATTATAAAATTTTGAACTGTGAGTGTACTAGTGATTACAGTGTTATAGGAGAAAACATGGAAAACGAATTGGTCAATATAGATATATAATATCAATCATACTTACTAAATACGGCAAGAAAGAACTAAACAAGTGATAGCATTAAGAAAAACTTATAAAGAAATCGCAATAATAGCAATATATTAATATCGATTATCTCATTCTCGAATAATTCGATCAATTATTTGTGCATCGAAATGAATAAATGAGCAGCATTTAAAAGTATCACAGAAATCTTGTCTATCAAATACGAAGTTGTAGAAAAGCTAACATAATAAATAAAAAATACTAAAACCAAATGTATTTGATAAGAAGTATCCCAGATCCAGTTTTACATAGTTTCCAATCCAATTCTTTTTGTGGAAGTCACATGTCTCACAATTATTCATCACCAAATGATTAAAAATTGTATCAAGAAGCGGTGGATGTGGGTGTGGGTATCAGTGTGAGTATTCTGTTTTATTCATACCCACATCTGCCCACACCCACCCACCCTTTTTTTGCTGCTTGTGATAATTGAAACACTTCGAAGAATTTCAGATAAACTAAAGACTCATCTTCATCTTTTATTTAACATGGAGAAACATCCGCCCCTGAATTGAAATGAAAAACTCCAAAAACAAGAACGATCAGTTTAAACTTATTTAGTAGATCTTCAGAAAGAATTTAAAATTGACCATGTATAACTACGTCAATCGCTTCTTGTCAACTAAGAACTGGAAAATGTATTGTTAGGAATGCAATGCATTCATATCATTGAAAAGCATGAATGAAAATGATAATAATTTTATAGTAAGGTGTTGGAAATGCAAAATTTCAGTATCTTTTATCTATGTGGGATCAAAAATCAGAGGGATGTAAGAGAATTGAGGTCATACTCAGTAGTATTCAATATCAAGACTCAGCCAAATTAAAGAATTAATAAAATATTCGGTCTCATTTTCATGAAAACTCTATATTAGAAAATTGAAAACGCAATCACATAAAAGCACACTTTCTCCATCTGTAAAACAACTATATTTCCGCAAAGATAGGCCATGAGTCCGATTTCTTTTATATTTTCTTGGTGACACTTATTCCTGTTTGTGCTCAAAATCTCCTGCTTCTACTATCTTTAATAGCGAAACTTGTCTTATTATTATTTTAAAGCTGTTATTATTTTTAGAAAATAGATTGTTATTCAATAGTTCCACCTACGCATACATATCTGGCTTTGCCTTTAACTTATTCACACACACGTATATTGCTCTTATCATTCATTCCTATTCTTTTTCTTTTGTTATTTTAACATGAGCTATTATTAACTTCATTTGAGAATATAGATTCATGAGAATAAATATCAGCTGCATCGATTCTCTCTTGATTACTTGGACTATTTATTCGATAGTCGTGTATACAAATTCTATCACTTCACAATGGTTTCTAACAAGTTTGTTATTGTTTTATTTGCATTGGTATTGTTCTCCGATGTTTGTGCACATTGTAAGTTACAAGAAGTACTTTCATTTCGTGGGGTTTTTATTTTTGTTTTCATTCTCTTACCAATTAGATGTCTTTCATTCTGTCGATCAAACGCCTCTCTGGAGTGTGGTTCGCAGAACAGACAATCATTTCAACCGTAATCCTGTACGTTTATTCACCCAGATCCATTCATACTGACTGACTGACTGACTGAATGAATTTTCATTTAGGTAGAAAATGTAAATGATCCCAACTTCAGATGCTACAATGGTGCTGGTGGAAATGCCCCAAATACTTACTCTGTCGAAGCCGGCAAACAAATCACCTTCCATGCCGATAGCGACCTTTACCATATAGGAGTAAATAGTCTTGCTTTGATAGTGAGATGTTTGAACTACTGCAATGCTAACGTTTATTATAGGTACTCAACGTCTATATGGCTAAAGCACCAGGCAAAGCCATCGACTTTGATGGCGCCGGTCAAGTATGGTTCAAAATCTATGAAATCACCGCCCATGCCGATCCAACCGGAAAGAATGGTCCAACGTATCCCGCTACTGGTAAGTCATTATAAGGTTTTTGTCCACTAATTATTGTTGCCTATAGCGTTGACCAGCGTCACTTTCACCATCCCAAAAAATGTTCCGACCGGAGAGTAAGTATTGCTCAACGTATGAAATTATCTGATGCCAGTCATTTCAGGTATCTCGTGCGTATCGAACACATTGCTCTTCACAATGCTCAGCAACATGGTGGTGCTCAATTTTATATCGCCTGTGCACAAATAGCAGTAATAAACGGTGGAAATGGTACTCCAGGTCCTTTGGTTTCGATTCCAGGAGTGTATACTGGCCATGTAAGTACATATTTGTTAGACCTTCCTAATGGCATTCACTAAATTGGCAAAAAATTAGCGGGAACGAGGGAATTTATTTGAAGAAATATCTCCGTAAAAACCCTTTTTGAAAAGTTATAGGTCGAAGCGTAGAATACTTTTGGATATAACAAACGACTTTCCAGAAGTCAAAAGATCATTAGTTTAATATGAGCGAAAACAAAATGTGTACTTTTTTTTTCTTCGAATTTGACTATTTTCTCTGTAGGAACCTGGCATCATCTTCAATCCATATTGGCCCATACCAACTAGCTACACACAACCTGGACCAGTAAGTTAATTTTTATCTTTGCAACAAGAAATATTTTTTCAATCTTGATCATTATCAATAGACGGTGTGGAGTGGTTGATATGTCTGCCTGTTATCGAACAAGACACAAGCCATGCTTTCTTCAAAGAAAGAGAAAAGTTCTTCCAAATATTCGAATCCTTTCCTGCTTGTTTAAATATGTATTATTATTTTTTTAAAAATAAATAACTGGAAGAACAAAAGTAGAATATAAATTATATCAAATAAAACGAGATAAGAATCGGTGTGGTATCTTTTCTTGATCCATACCCACCCAGCCTGTGTGACTGTGAATGAGTCTATTAATGACTTTATAAATTATCATTTGTCAAGAATCCTTTATCAGAATGAATTTTCTCTTTCTCAAATAGTGTTCTTCTCTTATATACATATTTGCAAAAGAAATAAATCTTCTTGGTATTCTTAATCAAAGGAAATTTTTCGAATAAAAGCTCAGATAAGTAATTCTTTCTTTTATTATCTTATGATATACTCCCACACATCTGAACTTGTACATTTAAAGGTAAGCATTCACAAACGCAGAAATTATCTTAAATAAATATAATAGATTTATTTTAGAGTTATTTTAAATAAGATTATAAGTATAGATATAGATAAATAAAGTACTCACACTCACCCTCTTTTTGGTGCCCTACTAACGAATAAAGTAATCATACTTATGCAATTATTTTTCTACGCAAAACAAATATCCTTTTTTCACATGTAGTCACTTACTGAACTTCACATTTCAAGACCTAATCCTTTGTATGACATGTATGCTGAGACAAAAGATCTGGAACAATTATCGTCAGGCAATCCACATCTTAAAGTGCATTACTAATCCTACGGATTCCCTGATCACATTGAAATGCACACAAGAGAGGGTGAATGTTGTTTGCTTCTTTTTCTTCGCATCTCTGCTTTTCGATATTTTGAAGTTCAATAAAAACCTTGAGGATGTGGATGAGATACACACTCACGATTTTTACTTTAACTAAAATATTAGAATATATGCTACGTCAATATCAGTCATTTTTATAATATCAAAAATGATAATCTTGATATATTTTCGTATAAAGTCGAATAAAAGGGTAAAAGAATGGATGAGAGCGCAAGACGAAGTGACGTGTAGGCGCTCTACCAACTGAGCTACGGCATACTGCCGGTGAGACTTGAACTCACGACCTCCCGCTTATTAGGCGAACGATGAACCGTCTTTACTAAAGCATCCAATTTTAAAATATATAAAATAAATTATTGATGTATTCGATGAAATATCTCCATTTGCAGTCTTAATATATTTCATTCGCAACTGATGTATACCACGTTAACCTTTGATTCATCCAAACAGTGTTTCTGTGTCGATAATAAATAAAAAAAAATAAATTGTCGTTAGTCTGTAACAAAATTCTTTTCTTAAAATATAAGATGCATAAATGAGTTAAACTCATTTACTTTCACTATGACTAAAATGATGAAACATTCATTGCTTTTCTTATTTACTATATATGGTAATATTTTTGTATGTAGAAAAAGAATCGACTGATGACTCATCAGTAGAACAGAAAAAATATTGCCCAACAAACATGACGATTGACGTTATTTTGCCGTTCTCAAGTCAACTTATATATATATAGAACGGTAAAAGCGAGATATTTATTGTATATTTTGAAGACAATTTCAGCTGATACAATGATGCGATCAAATGTTTGGATGATAGATAAGCTGGAATATTATTTGACCAAAGATTTAGAAGCAACAAGTGAAGAAATTGATTATCTCAAACGTTTATGTACTCTGAAAACAAACACTAGATCAGATCCAAGAAAACGTCTAGGTGCACGTTTACCATCTATTATTATCGATGATTTTCTCTATCATGGAGATCTAGGTCATGCACGAAATATGAATTTATTGAATGAATTAGCTATTAAGCATATTATTAGTGTTTGCGATATTCAACTAGATAAAGAAATTATTGATAATTTTAATGTTTTATGGATCAATATTGACGATACACTTTCTGTAGATATTCGAAAACATTTCGATCGAACAAATCAATTTTTACTCAATTGCAAGGAGAAAGGTGAGAAAGTATTAGTTCATTGTCAAATGGGTATATCTCGTTCGTCTTCAATTGTTCTTGCATATTTAATCAAGTAAAATTCTTGAACGTTTTTCACATATTAATTATCGATCTTTTTTTTTAGGTTTCATCATGAGAATCTAGTTGATGCTTACGATCATTTACTTAATCGTCGTCATATTGCTGCGCCGAATTTCGGCTTTTTTCTTCAACTGATTCGATATGAAAAGGCTCTCAACAGTGACAAGACAGACAACAAAGATTCTATTCCAATAAAATCTCCTCAGACTCTTCTAATTTCGCCTGCTACTGCATCGAATGGACCAGAGAACAATGAAGGAAATAGTTGATTAGTTTTTATTAAACATTATTGTTCAAATTTTTTTTATACTAATAAATAAACGTAATGAAAAACGAGATATTCTAATATGTTCTGTTTCATTTTATCTATATTTCTCTTTTCAAAAATGATGCACTTTATTTAGATCAAACTCACTACTCTCTTCGTTTCTGCACTATCATTTCATTATAATTGACTATTCTACAACGAAATGGTAAGATTGTAAATAACTAGAACTGAATGAAATACATACGTTCATCCATATTTTTCATGAGAGTACAATTGGTTGTTTAGAAGATATTTATTTAAAAAAAAAAGAAACGAGAATATCAGTTGATATTTATATGAAAAGAAAGTTTATCTATTAAATTTATATAGAAAAAAAAATAGTAAAAAATTGAAAAAGAATGTTTTTAAGTTGTTAAAGTAATTTTTGTAGAACAGATCATCCAAATAATTATAATTTTGTCTCAGAAATCTTTCTTCTTGTTCTATGTATCTTTTCTCGAATGAGATAAACTTGATGTCGAATAAGTCTAAAGAGCATTTCAGCAAATTCCATTAATGAAAGAAAACTTATACCAATCCAAAGACCTGTTTGACCACCAATATTAGAAATAACATCAACACTGCCAAGTGTTGCTTGTTGTGTATAACTTACAACAAGAGTTGATCCACATACAATGTCAAGACTAACATAATTATTTTGGATCTCAGTTGACCATGTTGACGACCAATTCGCAGGTAATGGAATAGAAGATGATTCAACAAATTCTTTTATACTATTCATATACCATGAACTTGGAGCTAATCCAGAAGATAGTTGAAGTGCAAATACATTTTGGTTACATTCTAAACCACAGTTTGGAGCATAATCGCCCGATATAGAGAGTGAACCTTGAAATATATTGGCTGCATTAGAATAACAGGGATCGGATATATTGCATAGATTGGCATAAATAATATTCTTAGTACCATGTGGAATAATATAACGAGAAGACCATTCATAAGGACTAACACAACCACATTGATCATACGTATAGGTTTGCACAGCAATATTAAAACATATTTCTAATCCATAAGCATATTTTGCACCTGAAAATTGATTAAACATAGCTTGCATTTCGGGAGTCACACTTGTACTACATGTCGTATAAGGTGCTGGTAAAAAACTGATCGTTTTCTTTCGATAATCTAAGTTATGCTTTCGTCCTGGTACCATTTGAATACCAATTCTCTCAATGAGAGGTAATTGTGTATTATCATGAACCATAGTTACAATACTTACAGCTAAAAATAAATATTTAAAAGAAAAAATGATAAAAAGAATATTCTCTTACTATCAGTTAAATATGGAACATATTGATGACTATGTATATATAAATCTAATTCAAGTTCTCCACTATATCCATTTTCATTATTATAATGTATTGTACCATTATTAACGTGAGATGCTTGTGCATTGAATGTATAACATAAACCATAGGTGGATGATGTAAATTGAACAAAATCAGCAGCCGAACAATTAGCACCATTATAAACACATTTTATAAGCATTGAACTAAGTGGATAGTAAAATTCATTTACAGATTCATTTCGATTAAGTTTATACTGAAGATAATCATAAGCATAGAGTGCTTGTTGTTCTGTAAATGCAGTTGTATCAGTTGTATTTGTTAGATTGAGTGAATTTGTATAGTTTAAATAAGGTCCAATGAATGTATCATAACGAAATGGCGAATAATTACAAATCGTAACTGCTGGAAAAGCTTGTGGCCATTCATTAATAGTACTCACTGA